ATCCTATTCCCTGAAATTTGTGTGCGTGATGCAGTGTGAGTAATACGTAATATACTTTTAATATTACTGTTGTAGTTCCTTACTCTGTGGTTGTAGTTCATAGCTAGACTAGCTCGAGAATTCAAACTTTTCAAAAATTGCCAGTTTAAGGTGGCTCCCTAGGGTTTTATTTCCGGGGGTTACGTTCTTCGTATCAAATGTAAACTAAAACTCGTGTGACTTCAAAATACGAACGAACGTTGTGTTTTATATGGAACTCTTTTTTGAAACAAAAGTGTGAACTTTGCTTTAGTTAAAAGCATAAAAAGAGTTCTAAAAGCCAAAATGATACTTGGATGTGATGTTTCAAAAAATATAATGTAAACTTGTTTTTTTTCAAGCGGTATTCTGGACGTTTTTTGAACCGCCGTACGCGAGGTTCGATCGCGAACATTGGGATATGATATAAAGTTTCCTCAAGAATTTGCAGTGTTTCTCCACAGTTTAGCAGCACTTATGACAATAAAGATCACTTAAATAATGAGCCCTCTACGTGTGAAATGAGCAGGGCCGAAACTCCAAACATACCACTATGAAAACTGAAATTTGAACGGGCATTTTGCAAAAACATCCGACGATAGTACTAACTCGCACGGGACGAATTTTGAGAAACATTTTTCAAATTAATACCAAGAAGTCATAACCAGTAATTACCTAAATTTCTCTGCCAATATTGCATGTATAATCCACGCTTAGTTGGCCATTAACCGACACAGTTATAAACAGTATATCAAACAAAATTTATATTTTGTGATTTCAAAAAAGTCATGCCTTGTTGTTTTATGCAGAATGCATGTACACGTCAGTTGGGGTATTAAATTGTTCGCGTAAAAATCCGTAAAAATTGCCAAAATTAAACCCAAATTTCTCTGTTTTCCTTCGGTAAAATTTTTTAAAACTTTGCACATTTTTTAATATCGGCACAACAAGTGCAATATCCTGTTTTCTTAAAATTAAATCGAAGGGAAAATTTTTAATATTGATTTTTGACGTTTTTTAAATTTTCTAAGAAACGTATCGATTTAATTTTTTTAAATTGAGGGGGAAAAATCATTATACAAGTATTATCTTTTATGCAAAGTTTCAAAAAATTTCACCGAAGGGAATTTTTAAAATGACCTGAAAAAGACAAATTTTGAGCTTTATTCTAAGCATGCTGTTGCCATGACAACACACTTTTAACACAAAAGCAGAAATTTGCAATGTTTAGGAGAACATTGTCAATGTGTCCAAGAAATTTCGTTTTTATGTCATGTAAAGTAAAGAAACAGGAGTCTCCTGAATACTATAGTGTAGTAAATTAAAAAACCCTAGGGAGCCACCTTAAATAACTTTTGGAGTAAATAAAACAGAATTTACACTGGCAACGTCAGTTTGGTTACTTTGGTACATTAGTATGATACAATTCACTAGAACATAACTATGTCATAACATACTCCCAACACTGAGTCACTGACATGCACTGTCTATTTATATGTCAGAATGGTCTAACTAGTAGACTCAAAAATACAATCATTTGAGCATATAATTTACATATTATTGAACGGCAACTGAAAAAAAATTATCAAAAGAAAGACAATACCATTTTAAGTTTATAGGTCTAAAACAGTAATATTCAAAAGCAAACAAAATATGACCAGCTATGAACAAATATACAGTATGTTTCAAAACTGCAACGGCTGAACAGCAATGTTTACAAATTGTACAATAACAAATATCTTTGCTGTTTTGGTGTTATATGTACTCATGTGAATATGATGTTTGTGATGTTACCCCATGAGTGTATATCCACACTAGGCAAGCTTGACAAATATGCCTGGCCACAGTGAGAATCGAATCTACAACCTTTGGAATACCAGCCCGATGCTTTGCCAACTGAGCTACGCAGGCAGGCAGGTTGGGGTTTGGCCAGGCATATTTCTCAAGCTTGCCCGGTGTGTATATACACTCAGGGTAACATCACAAACATCATATTCTGATATTCACCATGAGTCATGATTACTGGATTACATTGATATCAAAGAAACTAGACTCAGTTCCGAAATATCACATATTCGAACTGACCTGACCGCCAGCTCAGTTGGCAGAGCATTGGGCTAGTATTCCAAAGGCTGTAGGTTGGATTCCCACCGTGGTCCAACAGGGGTCCATAAATACTAGTAGATTTGGACCCCCGGGGGTCCATATCCACTAGTAGATTTGGACCGGGAGGTCCAAATCAACTGCGACACCGGCATGGAATATAGCATATTAGTATAAACCTACTAGTAGGCTATCACATATCGTGGCTTCTGATTGGCTACGCTACTAGTAGGCTATTAGTGATAGCCTACTAATAGAAAATTCAAAATGGCGGAAAATTCGCGTTTTGCACTTTTGCCGAAGTGTCTGATGATTTTTTGGACGACTTGTTGAACAATTCTGTACTAAAAACCCCCGAAAAAGCAACAAAAATATGGAATGGCAATTTTTAAGAGATAAGAAAATAGACAAAATAACATACACTCAAAGAAATTTTAAAATTAAAACTGAATTTTGTAAAACATTTTACGCGAACAAAAACTAAAATATTTGTTTACCTTTAATGGTTTTATAATGTTTTTTTGTGTATTTTTGTATTGTGTTTGCAGCCTAGTTGTAAATTAATGTTAAAGTTTATACTAAAACAATTAGACAACTCGGCCTCGTTGTCTATGAGCAAATAGTCAACTCGGCTTCGCCTCGTTGACTATTCGCTCATAGACAACTCGGCCTCATTAGGGCCATTTATACGGAACAAAATAAGACGCGACTTACATAAGATGCGACTTAAGTAAGACGTGAGTTTGTCGTATAAAAGGTACAGAATTCTTATGTAAGACGCGTCCTGGATAAGACGCGTCTTACATAAGAACAGGTCTTTTAGCTGTTCTTATTTAAGTCGCGTCTTAAATAAGAAATTTTGGACAAAGTCTAACTACACATGCCAGAAACTTGAAACAACGTAAAATTTAATACCTTGCATATTAAAACAAAAACAACCAAAACAACATTATAGCTATAGCAAATAAATAAGACCAAAGCCGTAGAGAACCATTTATGCGATAACTCCGCTTATTTAAGTCGCGTCTTATGTAAGTCGCGACTTATTTTGTTCCGTATAAATGGCCCTATTGTCTAATTGTTAAATAGTAGTGGCAATGATAAATAATTACTGTACTGTAGATGATTTAGATCATACTTGAATCTACATACAAGGTCTACTACGGTCAATGATCTACGGTCAATAATATTGGGCCGGCATGGAATAGCATAATAGTAGTGGCAATGATAAATAATTACTGTACTGTATATGATTTAGATCATACTTGTATGTAGAGATCATAGATATCTTATATACACTAGATAGCGCATCTCGTTTAGTACAATTGAAGCCAAGAATATTCCAGCGGTTACCCCCATTTGAATAGATGGCGGCCATGTTGGTCGTTCCCACTTGCTAATAAACGCTTAAAAACAACAATAACTTTCATGATTTGAATAGTTTAAAAACGTATTTGGAATAGCGTTAACTTAATGTTTAAGTCCCCTGTTTAAGAAATAGAAAACAAACGAATCTTCTCATTTTATGGGAACGACCTGAGACTGCAATCACGGCTTCAATTTTTGAATTTCACAATAATTAGATGCACTATCTAGTGTATATAAGATATCTATGGTAGAGATAGAGGCTATATTTAGTTTATTTTCCTCTTCAATTAAGACATTGGCAACGGGTTGAGAAAAGTATTTGCAAATGTCTGATGTAAACTCAATGAAGATGAAGGCTGGGGACTTCACATCATGGGCAAATATTTTCAGCCTGGCTGATCGGGCACCCTGTTTAAGTCAAGTGAGATACCAGGCTAGCCCAGTAATGGTTGAAAATTTGGCCAACATTGCCATTAGCAGATAATTTGGTTAAATATAAATCAGTGAGTGTTTGCCTTTCTTGTGCTCATTTTTTAATATATGAATGTAACCTTAGCACCATTATATTGTTAATACTGGCAAAGAATTAGCATAACATTTTCATTT